CGTTTACTAAATTCTGTTGTTCTTTTCTCTATTCTTACATACAATCAGTCCGCTTCGTAATATCTTTTGTTTTCCCCGGCCATGTCACATATCCATACTGAATACTGTTTCTGTTTTATCATGTCATATATCTATGCCATGTATCTATGTTTACTATGTTATGTCAAGTTGTATGTAAAATGTAAGCATAATTACGTCATACGCAGCCGATCAATTTTGCGCGCACCGCAATTATGCTCACAATTTTACATCAATAAATTGGACAGTAAAATGAAATTTAAATTGAAATTAGAATTGATAACATATGTAAAAATTAATGATGGTAAAAGAAGTATAGCAACCATGTGATATAAACTATTAAAAAGTGTGAAATAAAATGGAGAAGGAAGATAAATTGTGTTGGAAGAGAACGGAAGCCAATTGTAAGAAAATGTGTAAATATAAAGAAATAGTAATGATGAAATATGTAAGTAGGAAAATCAAGATAATAGTTTAGCAAACGAGTGTATATGATGAAAAGAAAAGGTGAGAAATGATCAGATAAATAACTTGTGACAGATAGTAGGAAAAAAACGATACCCTGTAGCATTGCCAAACAAAAGTAAAAGGAAATAAAGAAACTCGTAAGTGAGTGGGTTAAGCAGTGGGAGAGGGGGAAGGGGAAAGGGGAGCGGTAAAGGCATTTATGAGTGAGAGATAATAGGGGAAAAGTAAGATAGATAAGCGGAAAGAGGGGGCATCATTATGAATGCAATCAAGACCTCACTTAATTTCGACCAGACATCCAGACTGAATTTGGGAAATAAACGATGACGTTTCCTCTCAAAGGGATTGATGACCTTTGCTCTCTATCGTCCTCATATTCTCACTCTGTTTTAGGCCTTTGTATCGATTTTTCTTCCCTGTCGGCTAAAATCTTCGATACAGGGTAACTCCTTTCTTCTGACCTCCAAATTTATTTCATTGGGGGATGGACCGACATTGTTTTGACATAATGTTGGCAAAATATTATGACATCGAAGAGTCTGTACAAGACATCTACAACGTTACCTACATGTCGTTTGGAAGGATGTTATGATGTTATAACAAAACAAAAACAAGTGATATAAAAATGACATTTTACCTCCATTAATTAACGTCATTATAAAGTTGATAAATGAAGACACATCGTTTGATCTGAAGACCATGCAACCTGTTGTGTTTAATTATTTCTCTTGTACAATCTTATAGGCGTGGACTGATGTGCGGTGTACGGTGTCTCGACTGTCTCGTTACCATGGTAACGTCGTAAAGATTCACGCCATAGCATTATCCGATACTGGTCCAGAGTGAGCATGATTCAGCATCCACCGAGTTTTCATGTGGCAGGTGCAGAAAGGAGAACCAGGATGTGTCATCTAATGCACTCTTACACATCCATTATTGAATTTGGAAACTTTTTTGGAAATTTGGAAACTTTTGGCCAAAGTCACTGTCCCCCTTGCGAATGAGTGAGAGGAAAATGAGATAGACCTATGGTGAGAAGAGCATGATGAAGGAGAAATGGGGAGTGGTAGAGGGGGAGGGGTGTAGAGAGAAAAGGAGAGACATGAACTTCAATATAAACAGACAGAGAGTCAAGAAGGTGAAAATAAGACAACAAAATAGAGAAAATATTTATTTAAAAAAGGGGTTGAAAATACTGTACCGTAGGCCTATAAATGTTGTGCATATAGCACTTAATTATTCATTGTTTTAATGAAAACATTAGTTTCGATGAGCAAACTTGAACTTGAAATCTTGATACACAATTGCTTAATTTGGTTGACAGTCTTCGTACTCTAAATTGTTTGTATTATTGCAATTCGTTCATAATCACGTCCAAATATTCAGCGTATTATATTTCATTTCAGTGGCGTTGGGTGGACCCAACCATTAGAAGGAGGGCGTTGTCATTAGGGGAGTCAACAAGCCCAACGAGAGAGTGGAGGGGTGGCTCTTGTAGCTCCGACACTACTTTTTTTCTACTGTGACTTATTGCTTTGGAATTTAGAAACGGTATGGCCACTTTCTCATCCCTAGCAACTTCATTACGGTTTTATACAACCCAGTAGATGCCTCCAAACATTATTGTGTTGTCTGTAATTCAGATTAGCGGCTGGCGACTACCATCAAAGTTATGTTTCCGTTGCCGCGGCATCCAACGTCCCTTGAAGGGGTCTGTATAGGCAGCAGACATGTCTCACACTATATACCCTTAAGACTATGTCAACAGAATAATATCAAACATAATCCACCCTGAACAATACATGAAGATTTAAGAATAACATATCAACGATCAGGGGCATTGTTAGAGGGGGAGGGGGTACACACTAAGAAATACGGATGCAGTTGGGGTGCAGATTTGCAACCACTTATACGCGTATTTGGCCGAGGGTGCTGCTGTTATAGCAAAATTGTATCTTCCTTTATTTCTAAGTATGTTGTGACAGCACAACTAGTAATTTCTGTCATAGGGTCTATAATTTTCATTTGAATATTCAGATTTATTAGACCTTCATCTTTTTTCTCTCATATTCATTTTTTGGGGTTGGTCTAGAACTCCTATTATAACATAGTTTTGTTATGGAGATGCCCATTCCCATGGTGAAAACGGTAGTATTGATTTTACTAATTTGCTCAAATAATCTTTTTCTAAATAACTTTGGAAATGAACAATTTTGTTCATGTTTCAGAAAAGTCTTTCGCTTCTTTTGATATCATTGAATACAAAATATAACCAATAGATGTTAGAGATTAACACTGAAAATTAATTTATTCATTATTTATTGATATTACCTTGTTTCCATAAAAATATACATTGAAATTTCTTGTTTCTTCGCCAAAGGGTAGATGTTTAATATGCAACCACAAGAAGATGAAAAGTCAATCAATGGAAACAGAAAATACGAGGGTGAAAAGTATGAGTTGACTTCTTTTTAAATGTCAACTATGTTACCTACGTATATAGGAAATTACGAAAGGAAGACATATTCAATATAATGAAACCCTAGGCGATAATAACCATCTTGAATTTCGGAATCGTAAACCAAGATATTGCTCGAAGAAAATATGATATCTAAGGTTGTCAGGAGGAAATTTGACCGTGTACTTAAGTGAATATTTACTTTCCAAGGTGACATGCCGGAGACCTTTCTTCCTCAAGAAACAGTTAAAGCAAATGTCAGTTTTGATAAGAAAACCCTGGGCTTGATGGACCACAATCAGGAGCTCGAACAGTTTAACATATCCAGGAGGAAAATATCGAGCATGTCATTACGACCCACCAGAGCCGAGAAGGGGATATATTGCGGCTTCATGAGACCTTTCCATTTCTCGTTTGCCTATTTTTACCCTAATTTCAAGATTATTTATGAAATATATACTCCCTTCCTCTTTCTCCTCCTTCTTTCCCTCTATTCATCTTTCTATTTCATATTTCTTGAATAAACATTGATGCTAAGTCATGTTTTGAGCACCGGCCAAGTCTTTCATTAAATGTATATGATGTTGTGCAATAAATGACATGTCCTCCAATTTCTCAGAAGTGATGTTTTATCTACATTAGGTCATTTACCTTAGCTTGTGAACGAAAATTAAAAAATTTAAACTTAAATCTTACTGAGCCTAGGCCAAAGTTATCACTTCATTTTCCTTACAGGAGTCTCATACCTCTACATAGTAATTTCGTTATTTTGATTTAGTTTATGACTTATATTGCCATTCAGGGATGTCCCATAGGAACTTGCACATAAATGTATACCTCTGGGGTGTGTGAAATAGAAACCTCATGCAATAGCGTACGTTAACTAAAATACATCTGTTTCGTATAATATATGTGATCATTTGTTTCCGGAATGTCTTCTGTGAGATCTACGTAAAACATAGGTCATTTAGAACATTACATTCATTTACATATATATTATTTTATTATTTGGATTTATCAACAATATTTGAATTTTGTCGACTCATTTCCCATCAAAGACATCGATCGTTACTGTTTTGGCAGTTTTTCTCTTTTCTCTTTTTCTTTTTTTTTCTCTCTGTCTTTTTCTTTATCCATATCTCTCTCTTTTTTTTTCTTTCTCTTTCTCCTCTCCGTTTTTTTCTCCTTTTCTCTCTCTAACTCTCTTTTTCTTTCTTTCTCTCGTTATCTCCTTCCTGTCTCCCTCCCTCATTCAACAACTCTCTCCATGTATTTATTCATTTCGTCACTAATTTTTTTTACCTCTTTTGCCTCTACAAGATCCTATAATAATCCAATGATTTCGCTAAATATCTATTGACTTGTTATTGAACAAGACGTCATGTGTTTCCATTTAAATTACGTTTCAATAGTATCCTAGATAATGCTCTCTTTGTAAACACGGAGTCACGAGAACTTGATGTTAACTCTGATAGAATTAACATTCGAAAGACATAATTAATTTCTGAACAAAGAACAACACACCCTTGTTGCATAGCAATATTCCTATCGGGCGTATCCCGTTTGCTTTCTTGATTATTTAATCATATCTGACACGATCTCTCCCTCAGAGACGACAAATATCTTCTTAATATCCGTTATTCGATTCATGTATTATATCATTCGTTGTGTTTGTTTAGCCCAACTTAGTTGAAACCAGCTATGCAGCCGGTGGTTTTAATAAGCACGGAAATGTTATTGCGGTGGAGAAGTTTCTGTTGTGATCGGAGTTGAACTTGAACTCCAGAATATTACTTAATGCAAACAGGACGCCACCAGAATCATTCTATTCATGCTTCAATTTAAAACATCAACATCTCTCTATGTGTTTGTCGGTCTACTGTAAGATGTTGTTTATGAGCGGGGTTTTATTTTCTTTCTTTCTCGCCGAATTTGAGCTCATTACTGGGTGCCGAGCATGATTTCCTGACACCTGCATTTGTAGTCACTGTTTGGTTGATTCAATTCACTGCCTAGCTGCTGTGAGGTGGAAGTGCTTATGTATGAGGGCTAGGCACTCCTGCTACTTGACAGAGGAACACGCCTAAATCTAATCAAGTCAGCTTTCACGAGGTGGCCGATTCGCGCGCGCCGAATTGATCGTCTGCGCATGACGCAATGACTCAGATGCACGCTTTGCTGCTCGATGCATAGGAGTCTAGTTATAGTCATAACAACTCTAAGCCTGCTACCGATCGGACTGGAAATACTTTCAACGCGTTTTAGCCTACAAACAGACAAAACCTACTTCTCGGCACGAAACTTATTTGGGAAGCTTGTCAACACCGGGCGACGTTGCTCCCTGTAAACGTTGTCTTTCTCCAAAACAACGCGACTGGTTCTGTGGAGTCGACATTCAAGCCAGCATGAACCATATATGTTGGATCCCTGTACTCTTATGTGCAGTTGTTTTGACTCGGTATGCTAGAGCAGGATTTATCGTCGAACCTTTCTCGACAGAAGGAATTCAATCAGAAACTGTTGTACTACCATGCACAATATTAAACGAACCTGGTGCGATTGTAGTTTGGTATAGAAACAAAGCGCAGCTGAGTATAGATAAAACCCTAGTGGAGAGTTTGGACTCTGATGTACAAGCGAGATTCTCTGTCGTTGGCAATCAGACGTTTGGGGAATTTAATCTTCAGATTACAAATGTCAAACCTGCAGACGAAAGTCAGTATTATTGTTCGTTCATCAGTCGCTTTGGAGGTGCCTCTTCAGTGGTAGCCACCTTGACGGTTTTGATTCCACCCAGCGAGGGATATCCTAGATGTTCGGTGACGGCAGAGACCCCACAGAATACTAAGAATGCCTTCTGGCCAGGTGAAGTGGCTCTTCTCACTTGCGAGTCATTGGGAGGTGACCCTGCAGCAAATCTTACGTGGTACCGAAAGAACTGGACAGTGTCCCATGCTACCAAGCATACTAATGTCTACAGGAGGATACTTACACCAGGAGATAATGGAGTCACCTTCATCTGTGAAGCGACCAGTAGTGCTTTACGAGAGCCCCGACGTTGTGAGGTCACACCTATGAGTATTCCACCAGAAGTCCATGTACGACCTCTGACAAACTCTGTACCATTCGGAACCAACGCCACCTTCCATTGTGAGGTCAGCGCCATAACACGAGTCCAGGAGTACAACTGGTTTATCGAGGGAACCCTCCTGACCCCCGAGACACCGGGTATCGTCTTTGGCAACAATGGAAAAGTCTTAGTGATCGCAAATGTGCAGATGGAGCATGATAGCAAACCAGTGGAATGCGAGGCAGTTATCAAGAATCGGTTGGTAGCGAGAGCTAGTACGACTGTAGTGGTCATTCCACCTAGGAAGACGTCACCACCACTACCCTCTAACCCCACCGAGAAAGTTACCATCATCCAGGTCGAGAAGTCAGAGGTACCAACCTCGCATCCCATTCTCTCAGCTAACATGAATCTCATCATCGTCATCGTGTCAGGGTCCCTCATCGTACTCCTCCTCCTCATCGCCATTATCATGGGCTGCTGGGTCTTCGGCTTCCGCAAGCCGCGAAGACCTCATACAAGGGTCAACATCGACTACGGCGAAGTCCCTGTCGATATGCCATTGGACGGCATCAGCCACTATTCCGTGCCAGCAGCTCTCTTCAGCACCGAGATTCCTGATTCAAGATTGAACGAGTCTTTCCATCAACCGCGTCACTATGATGAGAATACATCAGGCTACATATCAGCACTTTATGCCACACTGGATAAAAACAAAAGATACCCGCCTAAAATGACCAGTTCGACATCGCTACCGGAGAAGCCTGTAGCCCAGATTACTCCGACAGCGGGTAGGAACGTGGTCCCGCATTTCGCCGCCGCTTCCACCATCGACAAAAGAAAGTCGACGGGAGCAATCGCGTATTCGGATCTGAAGGATTTAGACAATGACCCCGACTTCAAGAAGGGGTGCAGCTGTGACTGTAAGGCTGATGATTCTGGAAAAGAGGATCCTGAAACAGAACAATAAATGTGACGATGATCATCATCAAGTGCTACAGATCTTCTTGCTATTTGAGAACTTTGGAGATTACGTTCTGTAGATCTGACTTTAACATTCCGCGATAAAGTCGTACAGAATATAAAGCTGCAAAAACTGTCATGTGCAATCGAATGGTAAACGCAACTCAAGGATAATAATCATGATTACAAACCTCTTAATGCTTTATCTAACTCAAATAATATGCTTGTATTCATTATTTCTATTTTTCTACAGAATCTTATTCACCTGGCAAAACTCTATCAAATCTATTCAAATTTATCAAAGTATTCAAAAAAGATAATATCATGTTGTGACGTACTCTATTTTTGTATGAGATTTATATATTATAAATTGTGTTTATAAGAGCTAGTGTTATTGCAGACAAAATATTTTTGTTTATACTTTAGAACAAAGTTCAAGGCATTTTACATTGTTTAATTTCCTTTGATATGATTACGATGTGTTCTCTTTTCGTTAAATTGTATTTTGTCATTTCAATTTAGTACTTTGATTCCTTTCTTCTATGTTTTTATCTCATTTCTTTTAACTATTTCATTCAGATCACAAACATTCTACTTTCGCTCTTCCTCTCTCTCTTGGCTAAATCTATGTATTTCTCTTTTTCATTTTTCATTTTGTCTTTTTGTCAGTTTTTCATTTTTTTTTTCTCTCTCTCTCTCTCTTTCTCTTTCTCCTTCTTTAGTTTTCTTTTTCTAAGAGAGCATAATTATTCTGCACCGAACACCATAATCATTTAGTAATCATAAGTTTATATAAATGAAACATGAATTCCTTTTGTCAAAAGACATGTAGCGCATTGTATTCTAAAGCAACACATAAACGTGCATTAAGTGTAAGATAATTCATAGTGTAAGTACAAATAATGTATATTAGCTGTATATAGTGCTGTCTATATTGTACATTCTAAAGGTTATATGTAAATATTAAAAAAACACTCTGTGAAATACTATGTATGATGCATTTATTTTCTGTACTTGTTTCTTTCTTTAATACTTTAGGCTTTGTCTACATTGTCATTTCAGTAAAGTTAGGATTCATTTAAATCTATCCAATACGGCTATAGTCTATGATATTTCTGGGATTATTCATATATTTATTATATGATTTCAATGTTGTTTGATATTGAAATTTTCACGCCACATATAACTATCCTATGTCTACATTTTGAACATGTACGCCTTGTCATCTGCAATCTTAGGTTCCCTATAGACTATAATACATGATAATGATGCACTTTATAATTCAACAAGTTATGCTTCCAAAACTGCATACCTAATTATCAGATTGTCGCTTGTATCCTATTTGCCACGTACGTGCTCGGAAAGCCGTGTTTACAACGTGGCAAAGTAGGCTCAACGGCGGAAAAGAGCGATTTGTCAAATGGTGCGCGCTCTGCAGCACTGCAAAAATTATATAGTAAAGTCAATAGCACCGATATGTTCGTATTCATGATTTGAATTCAGTGTTGCAGTACGTAAATAAAATGGCAGACACAAATAAGAGCATTATTTTAGCTTGTACAATAATCTGCTTCATACCTCGACATGACAATGTAGACAGAGCCATTTTGGTGATATATGCCGGTGAAATGAAGACACTATGTCTGCGAGATTTTCATCTTCAAAACACGATGAAAATATATGTGACTATTTGTCAGATTGCCAACAGTCAGTGTTTATATTCTGTTGAAGACGTATTATTTATTTCGAATAAATTCATATTATGGCAATCCTCGACTTATGTTATCATTTACATCATTAGATTATCATTCATCTCTTTCCTACTTCATATAAGAATTCATAACAAATGAGAACGCATTATCAATACACATTTCAATGTTTTGTACAATTTGTTAAAATATAAAATATAGATAAACCATATTCCATAATGCACTTTCAGTAATGGTAGAATGACACAACTTTCATGGCTTTAGACAAATACTTAATTATTGTTTTACATTGAGAATTATTACGTTCTGACATTGTGGCACTACACTAAATTGAAATTAAATCAACTTTCTGTTTTCGGAGTGTAAAATCGAATTAGACATTTACACGGCATGACACAGTGGCAAGCTTCGGTTAATGAAGCTATTATTGCTCGGGAAATATTCATGAGTAGTAAGCCTTACAAAATGGATCCTTATGATTAGTATCAGAATAAAAACAACAACAAAATCACAAAAGAGTCGACATAAACAGCTTCTCTCAGACTGCTTAAATTGTCAAAGATCAGAAGACCGATGATTACGAATGTAGTACCGGAGTAGCTAAATCAAAAGCAATTTTAGTAGATTTAAAAACAGTCACTTTACAAACCGAAATTCAACCAAACGATAATTGAAATAAATATTTCAGAGTTTAAAAAAGAATTCGTTCTGCATGTCACTACTACATAGTAAAGGATTTTACTTAAACAGTTTGTACATCACTAAACTTTACTTTGATAGTTTGGTGATATTTGAAGGGGAAAATGTGAAAATCATTTCTCACGTTCCTGTGTCTTTAGATAACGTCATCTCGGGATGTCCTCTCAGTATTAGGAACTAATGTAGGTCCGTTTTTTACAATAGCAAAACTCAAAATAGATTAACATTCTAAAAATAACATGCAGTCTTTCGTCTTTACCATTTATCATAAAAATCTACAAAATATTAAACATACGCTCTGTTTTCATGACATCGTTATTTAAAAAAAAATTATCACTCTTTGAGTGATCGTAATGAAAACGCTTAATTTGATTTGGACCCCAAATGCTGAACTATTTAACAAAAAGTCTGCCTTGATTTAAATGATAACCATCTTGCATTCTTCAGTGCATGTACATTTTTACTAATATCATTCTTATTTCGTTTATACTATGACCCATTTTATATGCAAATTTATATTTAATCTTGATTTACCATTCGCAATGACATAAAATGGGAATGATAGAGAGAGAGAGAGAGAGAGAGAGAGACAGACAGACAGAGAGAGGGAGATGGACAGAGAGAGAGAGAGAGAGAGAGAGAGAAGGAGAGAGAGAGAAGAGAGAGAGAGAGAGAGAGAGAGAGTGTGAGAGAGAGAGAGAGAAAGAGAGATACAGAGAGTAAGACGCTTTATAAAGACAACAACTTTAGATTGTTATTAAGTTTTTTTTTCGAATTCGCAACATGGACACCCACATATTCTCAACATACACAAAAGCTGTAAAGATTTACGCCTTATTTTCAACTTTGGACAAAACAGTCCAAGTATTAAGAGCGATCATGCCTTTAATTTCATATAAGTTCCATGACTGATAATCATCTATTCGTGACGATATAAAGAGAGATTCTCCATTTTCGAGGCCGGGAGAAAGTTATAATCAGCTGCTAAGATCACCACCGGACGTTACATCAACTCCTCGGGAGGAAGCCCCACACTTCAACTTGGATTTCTCGATCGGGTCAAATTATTTCTGTCTGATTTAATCTGCACCGAGCAGGCATGGTGTAAATTATTGTATACCTCTGGATGTGAGGAATATGTCAAGCATACACACAAACACACGCGCACCTCATACACACACATACACACACGCACACAACAAAAAGAAAAGAAAACTGTCGCCTAACGCCGTGACTTGATCATAAAGAACGATTGTTGGAGGCACAATGATGTCCCGGTCTTTGATTTTATTGGCGCAAATCCTCAGAAAGTAAAATATCATATCAATAAGAAACATTTTACAGTTCGAGGTGTTTAATAAATGCAAAACAGTATATAACGCAAAGAAAGGTAAACTATAGACTTAACTCACACAAACCCGATATTTCCAAACAAGGACACCTCAACAGAACAAAATATATGTCTGTTATACAGATTGAAATTGAAATGAAATAAAACTACTAATCGCCCCCCAAAAACCATTACAAATGTAGAAGTTTTTCGGCCATAGGCGCATACGCACACACACACACAAACGCACACACAAACGCACACAAACTTAATTTTTTTTTTCTTTTTTTTTCTTCATTGATTTGGGTCTATTCATCTTGATGATATATCTAGTCTAGCCTATTAAAGCAAAGACATTTAATTTAAAGGGCAAGCAAGGCCAAACATACATACACCTATCAACTGCATTATATTTCACCTCATTTATCTTTTCAACGTCCGCAAATTGTAAGATATTTTTAGATTTGTAGAGAGCAAGAGTTGGAACCGAAATTGCTTTCTAAGATCTGTTTGAAGTATTTGAAGTGTAGATAAAATCCATCACTCGTCCTATGATCTATTTTCTCAAATTCATTCTGAAAACAAAATGACTCATTAGATCGGAATACATCATTTCGTTTGATCAAAAGAAGAGGATGAAAAGAAAACTAGTACCTGTCAGCTGACAGACTCGACATCAAAAGAGTAACTACCCAGAAATGAAACGTAAAACATCTGATGATGAAGTACTATCGACACATGCTGCTCTCTGTAGTTGGTAGTAATTAAAAGCGAACATGTTGGTTTGGTAATTGCTGCTAAACATGACCTCTATACTTCATCAGATTAATCCTCATATCATTTCACGTGTTCGCAGGAAAGGGGGAACCTGAAGCAATTGGTTATCGTCACCTCACACACAAGACTTTAGTAGTAAACAGGTGGCGGGCAATTTCTGTTTCAGAAAATCACCACTGCAAAAAAAAAAAAAAAAAAATGGAATCTATGTCATAGTTTGCTTTCAACACGATCTAACGGAATATGATTCCAAACAGATAAATTAAGTGGGAAAGGGGAAAAAGTAGTTTCTTGAGCAGAGTAGACTAAATGTGAACACTTATGTCAGTCTTTCTTAATTACGCGGGAACATCTGGATTCTGTGTTTGATATAGCATAATTTTTTAGCGAGATGAAACAGGGGTAAATATCTTTAGAAACATTTCTTTGGAATATGAAATGATAGATCTGGAAAGGTGTCACATTGTGTTTTAGTCTGTAGACCGTATATACGAGACAAATTCATGGGAAACAAATGTGCTAAACACTCTAAATTAGTAATCATGGGTTAATCTATTCCTTGAGGTTTCCAAAATATACCCCACCGGCCCGAAATGGGATTATGTACATTTTAATCTCAGGAAACGCCTGAAAATACTCAACTCAATGTATAACAACATCGGGAACTTAAGAAAACTCCAGCATAAATTACCCATTTCAATAGCCTGAAAGCTCTTTGGCAAGTACAAGTTATTCAACCTTAATAACAAGATTTCTGAAGGGATCTTTTAATCTATTCTATTTCTATTCTATTTTTATTCTATTTCGTCCGCACATCCTATCAAGGATATGGACTGATAGTTTGCGATAAAAAGCGGAAAATATTTGAAAAGCTGCCTTGGATTTAAAGCTCTGAATCAGAACATTGTCTGCCATATACCATTATATTTTGATTTGGTAAGAAGAGGTCGTTCAACCTCCAGAGTCATAATGATAAATATGGTAAAGAAACAATCCTCTTAATCATCTGTTTAATATTAACATAATCCTAAAAGAAGTTTATTTTAACATACATTATGGAAAGATATAAGTGGAACCGAAAAGAAAAATAACAATGCTAGTAATGATGATGGTGGCTCCTTGCGCTCCAACAATAGGGACTTTTCGATTTGCACGTCGACATAGCGGACTGCTACGTGTGACGTCCTTTTAAAAAGGACATCACACGTAGGACACCACACGTAGCAGTCCATCGGACGTGCAAATTTTAAAGTCCATATTACGTACATGTATTACCCCGGTCACAGCTAGCGGTCAAATTAGACTGAGCTCTGGTATATTGGATACCCATTTACCTCACATGGGTGGAGAGTGGCAACGTTGGATTTATGTCCTGCCAAATGACTTTAGTGCAAGGCTGGGATTTGAACTCTAAAGCCCTAGACTGCAAGTCAAGTGAATGAACCAATATACCAAATACCTCCATAAATTAATTCCAATAAATAATAATAAATCTAAATATATAGTTTAAATACCGTGTATAAGTGTTAGAACTTCAACACTAAATTCAGATTATTTTAGTGAAGACAATACCCCAATAATTATAAAACGATCTGCATGCAGTCCAAATATTTTTTTAACCCGTGCTCTAAATAAATAATGTAATCCCCCAAAGTTAATTAATATGTACAGAATGAAAATATTTGATTGTATACCTGTTTACACTTGTTTTCTCATTTACACTTTTGTTCACAATTAAACTTATACTAACTTACATGGTCTATAGGTTGACATCAACGGCACTTACTTAATTTTTTTAAAAACATTTAAATACACAACTTAAACTCCATTTTAAATGTATGCGTTTTTACGGCGTACATAATATGTAACGACTGAACATAAGAGTGTAATAAAGGCCTCATGACTGTACAATTAAAAAAAACATCAATGGTTTCCCATACAGACATGGATGACCATGGTACATCATAACTTGGCTGAATATCCTGGAATCAGTCGTTTCTAGCCAAGCATTGAGTCAGTCGCCAAGGTGACTTCAGACGTAGAAAATGGCTCTCATTTTCTTTTTGCCTGTGATGCATACAGGAGGGGGCCCACATCAAAGGGGCTCGGATTGAATCGAGCTCGTGTTAAAGGGTCTTGGTAACATTGTTCAGATGAGAGAAAATGGTGCTAATGTAGTGACTTCAATGCTAGATGTGCAATTAAAGATAGTCTGAAAGTTTGAGTGAAAACAGACCATTATTAATGATAACAA